AAAAATCTTCCATTTCCACTTCCACTAATAATTCTAGGATTTGGTGGTTAAGCAGTGTACCTAGCTGTTCGATAATTATTATTTGTGTGCATGATCAGATGTTGGTCTGACATGTTCTTAATATTATCAGTCTTACAACTTGGAGAGGCTAGGGGCACATCACATGACATTAAAGGAGTGAACCTGTTCATCGTAGCTGGGAAAGTCGCAGGCGATCGGGTTTAAATCCAACCTATTTTTTATTTGGGATGCAAGATTTAGTCTGTGCACTTTTATCAGTTAAAGATGGAGAGTGTTTTGATCCCCAAGACGTGTTTTTTGAGAAAAATCCAGTTTATTTCGGGTACTCTCGTGTATTTTGGGGATCTAGTCTTTAATTTATTATTCTTAGCTGTTATTTTGTTGCTTTTTGGGATATATTCAAGTAATTTAACGTTCAAAACAGCCTGGACTAGAAATGCAGTTGTTGTTAGACTTTTCGATGACAGTTGGGATTCGTACTCCATTTAAAAATTTAGAGCCCATAGACTGATCAAGATCTACCGGGTGGTTTATGTGTTCATTTATCTTTATGAGATTGGGATTTTTCTCCAGTACATTGTTTGTTGTGACACAGTTGCGCGATCTTTCCGCCTCTCGTCTTTTCATACGACATTGACAAGGCGTCAGATCTGGAGTAGCCTTTATGTCTTTGTGCAGGGTTGATGAGCTTATACTTTTGCTCAAATGAATAAATTGTTTAGCGTCGTTGCGGCAGCCAAATTTGATAAAAGGGGGCAAGTTGATTTATCCGATTTTTTGCTGAAGCTTGTGACTTGACAACTGACATTTGTCATGCCACACACTTCTAGACAGGTATCCCTTAGCGAAGTCGAGGATGTGCGGTAAGGGAGGTTACATGCAATCGTATTGCAGGAAGCATTAGTCTTTTCGTAACTTCCTCAGCTACAAACTTTAGGATGTATTCAGCTTTTGTTGATTCCTCCAGGTTCCTATCATTAGTTGAGGCCCATATGTGCTTGAGGGGTGCTAACAGGTTAAGCTTATCGTTCACTAGGGCAAGTGAGTTTTGTAACTGTTGTATCTCGCTTCCATGGTTATTACTACTATTAAAGGTTTCGGATGGAGCATTCAACTCCTTGGTTTGTGAATTTTCAGATTTTGGCTTCACAAGAGTATGCTGAAGTTTATTCTCTGTTGAAGTTTTGGTATACTTGGGTATAGTACCTCTTATGTCTAGGAGTTTCATCATTGGAATACTAAGTGAAGAGTTGTCACACAGATTACTGGTTAAAGATGATGAGATTTTTTGATAAGAGGTACAGGGTTTACAAGACGGAGGTGTGACTCTTCCGAAATTCGATTCATCAGACACAGGGTTGACTGATTTTGATCTTTTGGGTGGTTTAGAAGTTGGGGATATTTCACTTTTACTCAAATCATTGGTTATAATGGAAGACTGAGTGTGATTATTTCTTGTCTAATTAACGCAGATTTATCAGGGTATAACTTGTTGTGTATTAACTTGGTTAATACTAAAATTCAATGCCGATAGAGATAGATGTTGTGGATAAGACGTTCACTTATTAAGTGCAAGAACCACTGTCAGTCGATAAGTAGGTTTAAACTAGTGTATTGAGAAGTGAAGAACGTTTTCAAACTGCTGTTGGTTTATATATAGTACTTCGGAATGCTAGTCTACGACAATTATGTATTAACTGATTAAATAATTAAGTATCACTTTAAACAACATGATAAAGTTCAGTAGAAAACATAAAAGCTCCAATAAAGGTACAAAAATAGAAACTACAACAAAATACATATATTAACATCACAAAATGTGATTAAACATATTACGAAAATATAGCACAGAAAGAGTCAGTAAGAACATATTACACATATATACATGAAACGGTTTTCTCAAAACAAAGCTTCCAAAGTTGATTATGCAATATTGATATTAATAATCCTAGTCAACCAAGTATACGACTCGTTTTTGTAATCTTGGACTGGTTTAACTTCCTCCCGAGAAATTCCATTAGAAAATGATGGGGACAGTTATGTCGAAAGGGAGCTCACTCGTGATTTGAACAAGGATGTTAAGAAAGTAAAACATGATCAAAGAAATATCTCCGAAGCATCATATCACTTACTTTCCCATTCTCTCCTGTTAGTCGTAGTGGAGCATAGGCCACCGACGTGCATTTCCCTGCCAACTCTGTCCTGTGGACTGCTTTCTAGTTCTGTTTAATTACTATTCATTGTTTTAATGTCTGTCTCCAATACTCGACCTTATGAGATTTTTGGTCTTCCTATTTTCTTTAGGCCTAAAGGATTCCAGTTGAGGGCTTCTCTCGTGACACATTTGAGTATTTTCTTCAATGTGTATTCAATCCAGATCCAGAGCTTCTTCCTGGTTTCTTCCTCAACTGGAACGTAGTTTGTTCTTTTCCATAGTAAGTTGTTGCTGATAGCGTTTGGCCAGCAGATCTAGAGAATATTGTATAAACAATGACATTGGTGTACGTTGGTGAATTAAATTCAACTGATTGTTCCACAACGATCCATAGCGTGGCAATTTGGTAGATGTACTATCCATCCCTAAGAAATCCAGCCTGCTGAGATGGGAGTTTGGCGTCTACTTAATCTTTCAGTCGGTTTAATAACACTCTGTTGGAGATTTTTCCTGGTATCGAGTAAAGTTATGCCTTCATATTTCTGACACTTGCTAAGATCATATTACTTTGGTATTTTGATCGGGTGTCCATCTTTGTAGTTATTTGGTACTCGTCCTTCCTTCCAAATCTTGCGTCACATCTTTGCAGTTACTGCTACTTCTTCAGTCAGTGATTCTGCCTGGAATGTTGTCTCATCTCGCTCTTTTTCCGCTCTTGATTCGTCAGATGGCCATGCCGATCTCTCCAGTTGTCGGTGAGCTAGGAGGTCCATGGGTGCTGCTTTGATGTTGGTTGGGTTCAGTCAGTATGATCAATTCATAAGTTTTTAAAAGTGCTCTACTCAACTGTCTCACTGTTCTTCAGTGTCGCTGATTATTCTGCCTTCTTTGCTTTTCACTCATCTTTCTGGTTGATGATAGTTTTCAGAGAGCTTCTTTGCTGAATCGTACAATTAGTTCAAGTAAGTTTGTAAAACTTATGTGTGTCTGCTACATCAGAGATATGCCGTTGTCATGACTGTTATCAATATTACTTATTAGCTCGTTAAACATGCTAAGATTTATAAATGTGGTTTCCATGATTCACAGCCTTTAGGTACGAGAGCCTGTTACGCGGTGGCTTCTTGCCTTCTGTTTACAATTGTTTGGACAATATGAGTGTTAGCTGGTCAACTTTCAAAGGGAAATCCCATTCACTTTTACTATCACTAATAATTATTGCTGCTCACAAGATCCTGGAAAGATCTAGTTTATTTCCAAAATTAGGCTCAGTGAATTGCATGGAAATTGAAAGTATGACAGAAACCGAATAATAGACATGATAGACCCCATATGAATAGTCGTTTTGGAATTCGCTACCGACAGAAGTTGTCCATAAACTTTTTCGCTAGTTCTTTAGGAGGAAGCTTAGTATAATCTCAGAGACTCAGAACAGTATTAATCAGGTGATGTTGTTTTTCTTTGTTTTGCGCATACCTAACTCCTCAATTCAATCTTCTCACAGCACAGGACATTTGGACATTCTGCTGGGACCGCAAACGCGGGTGCACACAATATTTCTAGACCAGTTCAAACCATATAGGGTACGCAACATAGTCTAAAGTAATTCTCCACTTTATGCGAACGCAACTTCGTGCTATCACCCCACAATTATTCCTGACGTTGTCTAAGACATATGCACAACCTGAGCTTAAGGTCCTTTACGTTGTCGCACCTCCTCTCTCTAAAGAAGACATAAATCTATTGGATCGAGTGCACAGAAGTGCAATGAAATGGGCAATAGGGTTGAAAATTGAAGCATACGAAGATAGACCCCCAGCAGTTGGGATTATATCCTTTGAGTTACAGGAGAATCAAAGGTGGTCTGATTATAGCTTAGAACATATTAGGCACGTCAAATCGTCCCAACTTGAGCATCTTACTGATGCATTACCACCACTGCCCTCGAGGTAGTCCTTAAAAATTGCGCATCAAAGAGCGAACACTCAGGATCGTGCACACTTTCTGTCATTAAGAGTCGGTGCAACTTGGAATGCCCTCCCGGCCGAGATGACCACAGCCTCCTCAGTGTACAGCTTGAAGAAGAGACTTGATAACCAAGTACTCACACACGGATTATCGTCCCCCTCATGTATGAGTTGTGCCCGATGCATGTCTTGTGACCTGCTGGTTGTTACTATTGCCATCTCCTCAGATTATTAACTAAATCTATCTCACCTATTGCTTACGTTTCCTCTCCCTCGCTTACACTTCGGTTCTCTCTCACAATCGTTACTACCAGTTAATGAACTAAATTATCTATGTATAACTTAGTTCTGAAATCCTCTTATTAGCATTAGAATTTTCTTATTATTATTCTCCACATTGCAACTAAATGATCTCCGTTCTGGTAATGTAGCAGCTTCTGGTATCCAGAAACCCAGCTGCCCTGAGACTCACATATTCATTCAAATCACGGAGAGAAAATCACAAACAACTGCCAACTGACAAGAATCAGGCAGTCGAGTGGCTAGAACCCCATCCATTTGACACTACCAAACACCTGGAACCACACCAAAAGAACAAAAATCAAATGCAAAGTAATCACTTGGTTTATACTAGCTCATGAAAAGAGATATTGGATTATCTGTTGTTACACAGAGCTTCAATCTCATCTACAAACATTTGTGTTGTGTGAAGAATTTATGATTAATTAGTCTTGCTTTATATTCTCGGACAAAACAACATAACTCACGGTTCTTCGTGATTGAGAACACCCCTTTGCCACTCAGATTTAGAATCTGAGGGACACATTGTACAGTTATACTGAACAGAGAAGTTTGAGGTTTCCTAAGGCCGGTATATTTAAAAAATGACCAAGAAGTCGAAGAATGACCTTCTAAGCTTTCTTAAAGCTGTTGGGTAACCTGTTTCTAATTTTTGTTTACCTTCACCAGCCTAAACTATGATTCAAAGACTATACTTGAGAAGGACAGTGAATTTTCTTCAGTTATTAGTGATTTGGTATCTGAACTGGGAAAATCTCACAATGTTTCTTCCAATGTTTATGCACTTACAGGTTTATTTCATTCTTTATTAATTCAATATATTTCAGATGAGTATGAATATATCAACTTCGTGAATGGCCTAGGAAAGTTTCTGGAATCTTATGGTGAGTTGAAATTAATTATGAGTCGAGCCGTATGTATTTAACTTTCGTTTGTGAATATAAGTACTTCAAAAACCAAGGTGATTAAAAAATTTCATTGTTTGATATAATGGGAGTCTACACAGTAGCACATTCAGAAATAGCCGATGTTGGTCGTGTGATCCCATTTCTCAAACCTAGAATCTAACATCTGCAACTCGTTAACCAAATATAATTTTATTTACTTGGCTTTGACGAGCTGTCACTAGGATTTCCAACCCGAAGTAGTGTTCCTCAGGAGCTGCTTGCCACCTACCTTTTTAACTAACTTCTTTGTATATGTCGTTTTGGGCATAACATGTCCGTTCTGTAACTTTTCAGTTCATCTTTTACTAGGTTTATCTATCGATTTAGAGTGCAAAAAAGACAGTTCAATTTAATAAAAACGCCTAGACAATTCGGAGATCCTTAGTCGTTACGAAAGAAAGTGTTAACTTGTATGGGATGTATCTCTGTCTTAATGTAAAATGTTTCAAACGTTTTGAACAACAACCCAAGAATGTCCTCAAATAATTTTTCCCTTTCAAAAGAATATGTTGCTTCATGACTAATCTGTGTCAAAACCTAGTTTGTTCATTAAAAGGGAAGTTGTTATACTCTTCAGTCACTTAGCATATCTTTTATGTTTCATCAAATACAGTTGGTCAAAAAGTAATAAAATTTTGGCACGGAAATAACAGAACCAGCGTGACTTTTAGCGTATACTTATTGTCTATCAGGCTATCCAGTAGTTTAATCTATTTCACTTTGATTTCAAAAAATCCTTGAAGGTTAAAGCTTTTCATAGGTATTTAGTATTCTCTTTTTGAAGCATGACTTATATATGTGCTAATGTGGTATGGCAGCTTGAATTGATGTACGTATGTACGAAGTTTTACATTGCAGCTGACCGGCTGATCAATAAATCTTTAAACAAATTTCATGTAGCTTAGTAATCAGGTGTGTGGATTAGTTATGCAACTACTATATGGGAACAAAAACAGAGTTGGCTTCAAACTGTTGGTTGTTGAGTGATGTAACCACTAAGACACCACTAACACTTAATTCACTGAATACTTTGTGCCTCCAAAGGCTGTAATACGGCCGAGATTGGGAAGAGTCTATTCTCCCTCTCCAAATGCTCACCTTTAGTAATTTCGACAACGGCCCTACATGGAACGGCATGTAAAGTCGTTATGAAGGAAGTCCTACTCACTTCCTCCTTGTAATGAAAATGTTGTTTTCGAGAGTGACTGGACGAAAAGAAATGTTCAGTGCTGTAACCGTATTGTTAGATTTCGCTTCACTGTCCTGTAACAGCAAGCGAGACCAAATCGATCATAATCAAATCCTTCCTACACCCCCTAATATCTCTCTTATCTCCACGACTAACTCTTCTCACATTCCTTTATCACACTGCACAGCTAATGCAAACGATGTGAGTTCACGAAACGTCATTCCTGTTCTCCTGAAACCTCGTTCTTCACTGTCCTGTGGAGTAGACCTGTAGATCAAAGTTTCGAGAAATGACCTCTTAAGAAAACCACCTGCCTTGGTTTGAGCATTCGGATAATATTTCAACGCAATCCCAAATTCAATTTATGTGGTGCATAAATATTCAAGTGTCCCTTTGTACCAGTACTTATACGTTTAAATAAGTAAATAAAGTCGTTTTTTCATGTACGGAATGATTTTTTTATTTCAAAGGTTGTCCATATTCGACGCTGACAGAAGGACCTATATTGGATCGTTTTTCTTCTGTTAAGAATCGTAGTTTACTGTTACGTGAGTTTTGCACATATTTTTTCACTGTAATTGCTTCATACATACAATCTTAATTTTTTGTAAGTGTATAACAAGTTATATTTAGGATAGATTTCGGTCTTATGAGCTATTGTTCATTCTACGTGATTATTTAATATGTCATTTGACTGTTTCCATAACACTATACAAACGTGCTGTGAACTCAGTACATTTCTGTTATTTTGATAATTTCATTTCACTAAATATATATGATATAGAAAGTTAAACCGATGTATACATATATGTCGGTTTTCACGTTAATCATGACTGACTGAGACTGTCAGTCATACCATAGCTGCTACCTTGTCATGTTTGTCGGACTTGCCTATCATGATCAACCAACCGAGCTATATTGACTGGGACATATGTTCTTGTAGGTCCTACAATGCCAGTCAGGTCGATTGGAGAACGATGAGACTAAAAGCAACAACTAAACTCAAAGTCTAAGGGTAAAGTTGTAGTGTTGACTTTAGAGGAATGTGATAGCAGTACAGTGCTTCTCTCAGACAACCAGCATCTGTACCGATACTGCCTTCTCACAAGGAAAGAAGGGGTTAGAAAAGGTCGACCCTAAAAATGTTACACCTTACCCTACCTCGCGGATTTCCGTCTCCCGCGGTAAGGCCTTTTAAGCAAGAGCGGAGCTAACACTTCAAAAACTCATAAAAAGACAGTGTGTGGCCGGCCTCAAACAGTTGTCCCTTGGGCTCTGTGGTCTTGCTCTCAGGTCTCTAAGGCCAACACTAATGTTCCTTTCTTTTCAGGTTCCTCAAAAAACACCCTTCCACCTTGTGGGCAACCGGGAAGCGACATCCGCCCTCATACCCGTACTAACACACGAGACCGAATTGGACTGACTGACTGTTTATTCGTTAGATAAAAAATATTACTACTCAACTAAATAGTTAATGATACTGTGTGATAATCGAAAGCTGCTATCTAATGCGACTGGGTTTGATCAGAGTTTTCCAAGTAATTTAAACATTCAATCATTGTTTTCAGGTTTTTTAAATTCTTCTTTTTCCTCCTGATTTACTTTTCTTCCACAGAATATCTATGTTCAGAGATAATGGCTATTAGACAATTGTCGTCTACATTGAAATCAGTTAGCAAACAAACTAATGGACATCATTCTATGGATGTGGACAGTTCAGAGGATGATGATTTAGAAATTAAAGCCTGCTTACAAAAAGCATTTACAGATCTTGGTTTAAAAATACCTCCTGATGATTCAGCACCTACTGTAATATATTCTACTCTACAGAAAGGTGTAAGTAGTTATAAATAGTGTATAGTTTATATTGATATTGCCTCTCTTTCTAATCTTATCTCAATGAATTATACTTCTTGAACAATATCTTCAAACCGTAGTCTTCTTCATTACGATTAATACCTCTACTACCCCAACCAGGTAGGTCTAGACTATCTGGTTGGGGTCCGCGAGATGATAACAATCGATGGTTAGACACCTTGAATGACATGGCTCGAAATCGTTCGCGATGGCGCCGGTGCATTTATTCTTTGTGTTCTCTCAAATCCTAATCTTCTGGGTTCTTCAACAACTCTAGTTTTGACTTTCTAAACTTATCTCACTGAATCATACTTCCTGAATAATATCTTCTCATCCTAACCTCTCCGATTACTTCTAATACCTTTACTACCTCTACTACTATTGGATTTGAATTGACAATTACATTTCTGTGCTGATGTGGTATGGCTACATGAACTTATGTATATACGTACGTAGTTCTACGTTTCAACTGACTGACTGACTGATATCGCTTCTTGTGCTTGCCTTTTTTATTTTGAAAGTGCTTCCTAATAAATTACAATAGTGAGTATCGTACATGGAATAATTCGTGTTTAGATAGTTTTTGTGGTAAAATATCAAAGTGTTGACTATTTCATATGATTGTGTACCAGTTAACTGAGTAGGTTGGTTGTAGACGCTTATGAAACACTGCAATCGCCCAACATGTTTTCATTTTCTTCTAGATGCTTTGAAACAATATATGGCAGGGAATATTAGTGTGTTTTATCCTGCAAGCCCGACCGTAGCTGCTACCTTGACGTGGTGGTCGGGCTTGCCTAGAGTGATGACCCAACCGAGCTATACTGGCTGGAACACATGTTCCTGCAGGTCCTACCATGCCAGGCAGGTCGATTGGAGAACGATGAGACTAAAAGCATCTACTCACGGTGTGAGGGCGAAGTCGTACTGCTGACTGCAGAGGGGTGTGACAGCAGTAAGGTGTTTCCCTCGGACAACCAGCATGTGCAGCGATTCTGCCTTCTCACAAGGAAGGAAGGGTTAGAAAAGTTCGACCCTGAAAATGTCATGGCTCAAAATCGTTCGCAATGGCGCCGGTGCATTTATGCTTTGTGTTCTCTCAAACCCTAATCTTCTGGATTCTTCAACCCCTCTAGATTCGACTCTCTAAACTTTTCTCATTAAATCATACTTTTTGATTAATATCTTCTAATCCTAACCTCTCCGATTACTTCTAATACCTTTACTACCTCTTCTACTATTGGATTTGAATTGACAATTATATCTCTGTGCTGATGTGGTACGGCAACATGAACTGATGTACTTACGTACGAAGTTCTACATTGCATCTGACTGATTGACTGACTTTATCCTGCAACTGTTTATTCCAACTTTGCCTGCAACTCTTTAAATTTTAGTTTGTCAAAGTCTAGGTTATTCGTTAGTTCAATTCGTCGTCAAGTAAAATCGAACGCTTCTTGATTGTTAAATCACTTTGATTTTTTCCATTAGGTTGTAAGTTGGAATTCAAATTAAACTTCATCTTGAGAGTCAGGTGACATAATCAAACTTGACAAGTGTCCATTCTTGTCGAATTAATAAATATATATCAGTTAGAGTTGAATAAATTTTATTACTTTTACATTTGTATACATATGTATGGATGGATTGATGCAAAACATGGCCGGTAAGAATAGAGGACATTGGTAGGTTATGAGAATTCGATTATAGATGTCATCGCAGCATTGCTTGTGTATTCTGAGACAACCGAGTAAGCAATGCTATAGTTAGGAAACGAGTTCTAGATAAGGATGGCAAATCAATAGATGAAGTATTGAAACTTCATCGGTTGAGGTGGTTGGGACATGTGTTACGTATGGCTAACCACTGACAGCCGAGACGAGCTGTTTCGCGATGTAGGAATAGGTTGGAAGAAAGTTAGGGGCGATTCGACCAAAACATGGCAGAAATCTATGAAGTCACTGACAAGTAGACTGAGTTATGTTGGTAGATGTAGGTTGCGTGGTTGGGGTCCGCGAGACAAAAGTAACCGGTGGTTAGAGACCTTGAACAACATGGCTGAAAATCGTATGCAGTGGTGCAGGTGCATCCAAACTCTGTATTCTCTCAAGTTCTAACCTGATTTCCTCATCGTCTATTTCTTTATTTTCCTAAAGTTAGCTCACTGGATTATACTTCTTGAATAATATCTTCGAACCCTAATCTTCTCCATTACCACTAATACTTCTACTATCTCTACCACTATGGGATTTGAACTGACAGTTGCGTCTCTGTGCGAAGAAGTCAACACCAGATGGAATATCTATATATATTTTGGGAAGACTGTTTCTTTACAAAATCTATACACGTAATCTCCAAAAATTTATCTGCACTCTAAACAGGTTATCGACTGTCTTCTCTCACATGTCTTCTAGTCTTCAAAATACTTTGACCAATCCATACATTTTGATCCCTAGCCACTGTTCTCTGTGATAGCAATTTCTTGGCGACGCTTCGCTACATAGTACTTGTATGCTCTTTTGTGTGTGGCATCCGTCAAACTACAGCTGATATTGTTACTTCTAATACCAATGTAGAATTAGTCCTGATAATGTCATCTCACTATACTGATGATATGATATGGTAAGTTGAACCTATGGGCATTTTCGTCAGATTCCATACTGCTTATGACTAATTGAGGATATATATATAGATTGTGGCTGTTAAGCTTAATTTTATGAGACGATGTTATTACCTGTTTGTAGAGAAAAAGCTAGCTAAGAAACCTCATGCTAGAATGAAACTGGTGATCATCCTGCCAGTTTTTGAAACAAAAAAACAACTCATATTTGTTTGTATTTCTTTTTAAAAAAATTCTCCTATTTTAGATATCCGATAGTCTTTCAAGATGTCCACCTAATCATATGGGCAAATCAATTATCCCGCTGACTGGTATTAGTGATCGTCAATGGTCACAAATAATTCGTATCGCTGCCTTATTACAACAACAATATTCCAGTCGTCAATCTACTCTTTTAAAACGTCTCGATGTTACTGTACAAAGTTTTAAATGGTCAGATAAAGCAAAAGTGAGTTAAAAATTTCAATGTGTTAGTTAATGTTTTTTTCTGGAATTAATATAGTATAATTTTTTGTAGTGGTATTTGTGTGCAGAAATAAATTTTGTGCGAATTATAGAAGTCATTTTCAGAAGTAAAAGTAACACTCATCTAGCTAAATGGCTTAAATGAGTAAGTAGGGATTTTACCACTTATATTGATTATAATGGGAAACTGTAGCCTGAGCGGTACTGGTTACCGTTATCAGCCTTGTCTGGTAAGCGTTTATTTCATCGAGTTACACGATCTTTAGGACTTAATCCAGTTGAGATATATGTTACGTATGTCCAACCACCGACTGCCTCGATGAGCGATATTTTGTAGTGTAGGGAGGGGTAGGTTTGAAAAATAGCTAGGGGCGGCTAAACAAAACTATTGCACAAATCCGTGAAGTCACTGACAATGAAACTCAGCCATATTGACAAGTGTAGACTACCTGGTTGGGGTCCGCGAGAAGACGATAGTAACCGATGATTAGAGTCTGCGAATGATATGGCCCAAAATAGTTTGTAATCACAGGTGCATCCATTCCCTGGCTTCTTTCGAATTCGAATCTTCTGAATTCTTCATAATCAATTTTTTCTCTTTTAAGTGTATTTCACTGTATTTTACTTCTCGAATCATATTTTCGATCCCTAATCTTTTTGATTACTGCTAATACTTCTACTACCTCTACTATACTGTGGGATTTGAATTGACTATTCGATCTCTGTGTGCTGATGTGGTATGGCAATTTGAACTGATATACGGACGTACGAAGTTCTACGTTGTATCTGACTGACTGACTGACTGACCTTAATAAACTAATGGATGATAATCCAACAGGGATTCTTTGAAGTCATAATCATTGAATTTCAAGTACAAGTTGTACTACTGATTGTACTTAAGTAGTACCATAGTAGGATATTTGCTACAAGTAAGTAGGTTTTCGACACCGTGCTACATAGACAAAAGAAATCTTTAGATGGTTCCACTCGTAGTATATGAATTTCTGGTTCTGTGCAAAATGCTTGGTAAAGCAGAGGGGGAGGGGGCTAACGATAACAAAACGTAAATCAATTGAACAAGATCCATGTGGAACCAACTTTCTCTAAGTCATCATTGAGGTGGTTGAACATATCGACTACTCCATTTATGTTGGAAATCTCGTCACACCCAATAAATGGATTGTTAAAATAGTTTTCGGATATATTAAAAAATTACTTACATGGCTTTAAATTTACCTATATTCTTGGGGCGTTGTTGGTTTGCATTTTTTTAAAAGCTAGCTAGTACACTATGCAGTTAATCTCTCTCTCTGTGTTACTTAATTTTTAGAAAGTATTATTTGTAGATATAAAGAATTTACAGGTATTTTCAAGACATTGCTCGCTCATGATAAAATAGTTAGGTAAATAGTACTACAAATCACGTGAACCGTACTAAAATGAAAATGGTAGACTAGTTAATTAGGTTAGAAAATTCATAGAATGGGCTTGTCGTCAAACATACAGTTAGTTGTATGATTTTGCCAATTAGGGAAATCACTAACTGCTAATCTTAGTCGTGTTAGAATGTTCAGAATTTCTGTTTGGTGGTCATCTTTTATTGTATAGTTGAAAAATTTGACTGGATTACATCGACTTGCTTCATCTCATCATGAAAGGGTTGTCGAGATTGTTGAGTTGCTTTTTGAAGTCATGTTAGTCGGTCAGCCAGCTACAACGTAGAACTTCGTTGCCGTTACTACGTTAGCACAGAGACTCAATTGTCGATTCAAATCCCATAGTAGTAGAGGTAGTAGAAGTATTAGCAATAATCAGAGAGATTAGGGTTCGAGGATATTATTCAAGAAGTAGAATCTAGAAGAATAAACTCAAAAAGAAAAAGATAGAGGTGATGAGGAATTTAGAAGGTTAGGATTTGAGGGAACACAAGCGGTGGATGCAACTGCGCCATCGCAAACGATTTTTGGCCATGTCATTCAAAGTTCCCAATCATCGATTTCAATCATCTCGCGGGCCCCAACCAGGTAGTCTACACCTACCAACATGACTCAGTCAAGTTGTCAGTGACTTCATGAATTAAAGTCATGAATCGATCAATGTTAGACCACCATTAGAAACGTGGAAGCACTGAAAAACGGCCGTATTGTCCTGGTATGTGACTCATTAGCAGTGCGCGTCCATGACTCCTGCTACTTCCAGGAATCGGGCCTAGGACGTTCGGTCTTGTGCGCGAACGCCTAACCTCTGAACCACTAAGCCTTTTCGACAAGTAACTCAACAATCTTCACAATCCTATCATGCATATTATCATGTGCTTACTAGTGACTAGCTCCGCGAGGAAGTTTCTCTGAGTTCTAGTGAGAAGTCTTAATCAGTTGAGTTCAAACCTGTTCGGGTATGAAGCAGTGCTCACTGAGGATAGTGGATGAGGTTGCTCAAGACTATTGATTGTTCAAAGATGTTAGACACCGGCTCAGTTGTTCAGAGGTTAGGCGTTTGCACACAAGTCCCAAGGTCGTGGATTCGAATCCAGCGAGTCGCAGGTGTTGTGGATGCGCACTGTTGAATCGTCTTGTATTGATACCGAATTCTACAGTTTAGTCAAATAAATCTGTATTATTTAAATACAATATTCACCGGAATTTTATTTTTAAAAAAATTTCTCTCTTTTTGTTTCTATTCTACAGTCTAGTTTAGATAAAATTATTACTGTATATAATCCAATACGTGAAAAAATGGGTTTTATTCCATATCCAGACATTGTACATGTTTTAGCTGTACGTGATAATATGATATTACAAATTGAAAAAACCAGTGGTACTAATGCACGTCGTTATACATCATGTGAATTGAATAAAATTTTAATTGGTAATGTAAGTAGTATTGTTTGGTTTGTTTTATTTTCATTTCTTTCTTTCCCTTTCTATTAGACAATAAAATATGAATGAAATTGTTACGCCTGCACGTAAACATGTCAAATTGATATACTTGAACTATTGCGAGTTTACCTTAGTCGGAAAACGAGAGCGAGGATCCGGTGACACTACATGCTACTCAAATCCGATTATCCCAACTCTCATATTTAGTAAAAATATGAAGACTTGATATGAAGTAGAACTTGTATTCTACAAGCATTAAGAAAGTACGAGATCCGAGTCCAGAAGAGAATCAGGACCCTGGACTAGGGATCCGGGACCGAGCCCTGGTCCTAGTCATGGTCATAAAATGTTACAGATAATGCTTATTTATACATTTTGGTCGAATAGGAAACAGCATCGAAGTCTATGACATTGACAGTTAAGACGACCAATAGGAAGCAACATTTGAAGTGATATTGATAGTCAGGATGACCAATAAGAAACAACAATGGGGCACATGACATTGATAGCTAGGACGACCATAAAATTGACCAGTAGGAACTAACCAATAGGAATTGACCAATAATAATTCTCTTAGGATATTGGATGAATATCGACCGTAGCTGCTACCTTGATGTGGTGGTCGGGCTTGCCTAGAGTGATGACTCAACCGAGCTATATTGGCTGGAACATATGTTCCTGAAGGTTCTACCATGTCAGTCAGGTCGATCGGAGAACGATGAGACTAAAAGCAGCTACTCACGGTGTGAGGGCGAAGTCGTACTGTTGACTGTAGAGAGAGGTGTGACAGCAGTAAGGTGTTTCCCTCGGATAACCAGCAAGGAAGGGTTAGAAAAGCTCGACCCTAAAAATGTCACACCTCACCCTACCTCATGGATTTCCGTCTCCGTCGGTAAGGGTGCCCACCAAGGGCTTTCAAGAGCGGGACTAATACTCAAAAAACGTCTTATAACAAGGCCGTGCGTGACCGGCCTCAAGCAGTTGTCTGTTTGACTCTTCAGTCACGCACCCAGGTCGGTAAGATCAGCGCTAATGTGCCTTTCTTTTCAGGTTCCTCAAGAAACACCCTTCCACGGTGTGGGCAACCGGGAAGTGACATCCGCCCTCATACCCGTAACAGCACGCGAGACCTAATCGGTTACAAACAGATTCTTCCTACACTCCCTAACATCTCCCATATCTCTAGGACTGACTGACTCTAAGGGACTATCGATAAGTACCGATGGATGGTTATCAATCAGTTCAACTTGTATGATACTAATGAGTCCGTACTACATAACAACAATTCATTTGTACCTTCAATGATATTTGTTCCTTAAAGGTTTCAAGTTCCCTAATTCGCACACTGGACTAGATAATCTTTCCTGTTCAGTAGATTCATAGTTTCGTGCAATTGATTTTTGTTTTTATGTTCAGTGATTGAACACGAATATAAGTGAAGTGAGGTGTAGCCAGACCAAAACATGACACGAATCCATGAAGTCGTTGACAGACTGGACTGAGCGATGTTGGTAGTTGTAGACTACTTGGTTGTGGTCCGCGAGACAATAGTAACCGGCGGTTAAAGACCTTGAATGACATGGCTGAAAATTGTTTGCAATTGCGCAAATACATTCATTATTTGTGTTCCCTCAAATCGTAATTTGAATTCCTCACCACCTTCATATTTCTCTTTTTAAGTTGATTTGACTGGATTATACTTCTTGAACAATTTCTCCGGAGTCCAGTCTTCTCCATTAGTTCTAATACTTCTACTACATCTACCACTGTACGATTTGAATTGACAATTAAATCAATGTGTGCTAATTTGGTATGGCAACTTGAACTGATGTACGTACTTACAAAGTTCTAATGTTGTTGCTAACTGACTGACTGACTAAGTGAAGCGAATCTGGGGAAGTACAACCCAACACGGTTAAAAAAAGCGAAACGTTTCAAATCCATTACATCACTATTATTCATTCTTAATCACTATTTTTTCATTTTATTTAATAGGTCCCTGATCGTGGTGGTAGAGCATGGGAATTGGAACCTCCTCCACCGGAAATGCCTGCTTTTAAACAACGTCAACCAGACAGAGGTGGTGGTACACCTAGAGGTGGTCGTGGCGGCGGTGGCGACGGTGGTTTCAGTGGGGGTCATCGTGGTGGTGGTTATGGAGATCGTGGTAGAGGTCATGGTGATACTGCTGGTGGTGGTAAGAGTGCTCCATTATCTATCTCCCTTCCTTCCTTACGCATAATTTGCTCCGCTCTTATTTATGTATTAAAATAAGTTTTTTTTTTGTTTATCCTTTTCCGATGAAATGTTGTTTTTAATTGACTTATTCTATCGAATGTCCTTATGCTCTATAGTTTGTCTACTCAATTAAGTAACTACAACTCTTACTTACTTACACCTGTTACCCCCAATGGAGCATAGGCCGCCCACCAGTTTTCTCCAACCAACTCTGTCTTGGGCTTCCCTCTCCAGTTCTGTCCAATGTTTGTTCATTCCTCTCATATCTCTCGCTATTTCTAAGCGTAATGTATTCTTTGGCCTTCCTCTTTTCCTTTTGCCTTGAGGGTTCCATGTGAGAGCTTGTCTTATGACGCAGTTCAGTGCTTTTCGTAGTGTGTGTCCTATTCACTTTCATCGCTTCTTCCTGATTTCCTTCTCCACTGGAATCTGGTTTGTCCTCTCTTACAGCAAGTTGTTGCTGATGGTGTCTGGCCAACGAATCTGAAGTATTTAGCGTAGACAACTGTTAACAAACACTTGTATCTTCTGGATGATGCCTTTCGTAGTTCTCCAAGTTTCCGCTCCATACAGTAGAACTGTCTTGACATTTGTATTCAAAATCCTGATTTTGGTTTTGGTTGAAAGTTATTTAGAGTTCCAGATATTTTTCAATTGTAGAAATGCAACCCTTGGTTTGCCAATCCGCTCCCTCACATCTGCATCGGATCCACCTTGATTGTCGATGATGCTGCCCAGATATGTGAAGGTGTTTACGTCCTCCAAGGCATCTCCATGACCAGTGATTTGGTTGGTGCATGTTGTGTTGTATCGGAGAATTTCGTTTTTCCCTTTATGTATGTTGAGACCTGCTGCTGCTGCAGAGGCTGCTGCTACACTGGTCGTCCTCTCTTGCATTTGTTGTTGCGTGTGCGATAGAAGAGCCAGGTCATCTGCGAAGTCCAGATCGTCTAGCTGCGTCCTAACTGTCCAGTTGATACCGTGCTTCCCTCCAGATGTCGACGTCTTCATAATCCAGTCGATGACCAGGAGAAAGAGAAAGGGTGAGAGTAAGCAACCTTGCCTGACACCGGTCTTCATCTCGAAAGAGTCTGTTAGCTGTCCTTCGTGTACGATTTTGCAGTTGAATCCATCATAAGAATTCCGTATGATGTTAACTATCTCAGTCACACCGTAGTGTCGAAGAAGCCTCCACATTGTTTTCCTATCCACGCTATCGAATGCTTTCTCAACTACAACTCTTACATTCCAACATAGACACGATATGATATCAAATAGCCTTAAGAAACTTCAACCGTAGCTATTAACCAGTAAGAATGCAAAAAATGTTGATACGCCATACAAGTTATTGCAAATGTGAGTCGGCTGAACTGTTATCTGAGTGCTTAAACTGAAGCAGGTGGTTTTCTGAAGTGACTGTTCATCGAGCCTTTGACCTACAGGCCTATTTCGTAGGTTCGAATTTCGTTTGCTAACCAAAGGACGAGTTTACTGCGCAGCGGTTTGTTCCGTTCTACTTAATGGGTAAAGAACATGGTCACTAACTTACTTACATACTTACGCCTGTTACCCCCTCCCCCCCCCAATGGAGCATAGGCCGCCGACCAGTTTTCTCCAACCAACTCTGTCCTGGGCTTCCTTCTCCAGTTCTGTCCAATGTTTGTTCATTCCTCTCATATCTTTCTCTATTTCTCGGCGTAATGTATTCTTTGGCCTTCCTCTTTTCCTTTTGCCTTGAGGGTTCCATGTGAGAGCTTGTCTCGTGACGCAGTTCAGTGCTTTTCGTAGTGTGTGTCCTATCCACTTCCACCGCTTCTTATTTTCCTCTTCATGAACAGCAGTTCCCCTGAAGCTAGTCTCAGTTGTCTTACCTGTGTCCAATGCGTTTCACTGATGCCGAGCACCTCGAGGTTGTATCTTTTCATTTCTGCCGCAACTTGAAATAGTATTCCAGTCTCCCACAATGTACGAACGTTCCATGTACCTAAAAGATTGGTTGTTCTGGTTGTCAGAAGAGGTATCGGCCCCGTGACTTCCGATGGAACTCGGCTTTCATCACGTGACGTCATAATTCTTCTTGCAACTCCCAGGGCAGAGTTAGAATGGTTTGAATTATTTTTTCTGGTTAGCGTTTTTTTGGCAAGTTAGTTTTTTGGTGGGATGGGGTCGCCAACCCCATGTCCAACCCTCCTCCTTTACCCGGGCTTGGGACCGGCAGTAGACCCGAAGGTTCTAATGGCGGAGTTATGTTCACTAAGAGTAGAGGATATTCGTAGGTTACTAGTATTCAATCATAGGTGTGTCAGAAGCATTGCTTGTATATCGTAGGACCATTGAGTTAGCAGTGTTGTTGGGGCTAGGAGAAGGGTACTAGGTAAGGATGATAAATCAATTGAGGAAGTAGTGAATCTACATCAGTTGAGGTGGTTGGGATATGTATTACGTGTGTCCAACCGCCTATCACCTCGATGAGTGATGTTTTGTGATGTTGGAGTAAGCTGAAAAAAGCCAAGGGCGGCCAAACCAAAACAGGGCACTAGTCCATAAAGTTACTCACTGAATTGAGCTATGCTAACAAGTGTAAGCTACTTGGTTTGGCGTCCACGAAATGATAGTAACTGATGATTAGAGACTTTGAATGACATGGCTGGAAATCGTTGGGAATGGAGTGGGTGCATCCATTCTTTGTCTTCTCTTTTGAATCCTTCATAATCTTTTTCCCATTTCAAATTTATTTTACTTGATTATACTTGTCGAATTATATCTTTGATCCCTAATCTTTTCGATCACACTGTTATTACTGATACGAACTCTACTACTATGGGTTTTGAATTGACAGCTGTATCTCTCTGTGGTGATTTGCTATGGCGACTTAAACTGATGTACGTACGTATGTACCGAGTCCTTGATTGTGGCTGACTGACGGGTCTAATCCACAAGATAGTGAAACATTGTTAGGTGGTGCGGTTTCATGGTAGCAGGTGACTAACAATAGATTGATAGCTACTTGTCCCTTCAGGATCTTTTAGCCAATGTACACCATTATTTTGGAGTCAGGGTATTCCAAGTTCCCTAGACGAATCTTTACTCATTTGATGTGCCGGCCACTCGTTTTCTGGCCTCCCAGTTTTGTAAGCAGCTCATTAGTAATAACCGGAACTGAATCTGTTTAGTTCTTATTAACCTATGAATTTTTAAGATGGTGGAAAAAATTTGTGGTTCAGGTGAATGATTGTGATGAAGTTTTGTTCTCTGAACTGGATGTTTTGGGTGCGAAGCTTTCGTTGTCCTTCTCCCGAACAACATCGTCAGCATAAGATTAAGGTAGAGAAATGAAGTATTCGAATTTCTGCACGTATGACAACTCGTAACTCGTTCTGTTGACCTCGATTGATCAGTTACAACCAATCATCATCCAACTCAGTGAATGAAACTTCATCATTAACCTATGAATAGAGCCTTTGTTATTTGTCAATTTCCTGTTGGGGATGTTAGATCCCCAGAACTCGCTTGATAAATATCTTTATTTTGGATTTATTTCATGGACCGATCAGTTGACCTTAAGATCACATTTCCCACCAGGAAAATTCTTGGCTGTGATTGGTTACTGTGTTGCTTTAGTGTTCTATTTTTGTGATTGTCCCACAGACGTCTCTATGGTGTATAAATAAACGCGATTTGTATGCTTGGATTCATTGTGTGCTGGCTGGGTGTTTGTAGAATAAACTTTCTACGCTATGTCAAGACTTCTTGCTAGTACAATTGGGTCAAGGGATCACAGTAGCCTACCTGGACGCTGGTTCATTGTTTTGTTCTCGTTATTCGATTAAGGTGAACTCGTAATAGTCTAAACATACCTAGAGGCGAGCATAACATTTCCACTGGTTGATTTTACTTTAAGATGATGATTAGTGAAAATCAGAATTCAAAGTTCTCAGTCAATACAATTTTATGGGATGACAGGAGAGTATTTGTAGTTTAGAATGCAAATGTTCAAAGTGTTTTTTTGGTCTCTTTGAGTTGATTGAATTAGTCGTGAGACTCTCTCATTATTTGGTAGAATGACAGCATCAACTCACGTTTCATAGAAGGAAAAGCAATTCATATTTCCTCACAATTGACTTGTAGCTTGCTTGTTCTGTAAGCCTGTAATTTGGTTTTTTGTTATTTATAACTGTATGGTCGTTACTTGTATATTTATTAGTGAAATCATGGTCCCGTTATTGTTAGACCACCATTAGAGATCTGGAAGCACTGGATGGCCGTTTCGTCCTGCTATGGGACTCATCAACGGTAGTGTGCATTCACGACTCCTACTACTTGCAGGATTCGAATTCAGGACCTTCGGTCTTGCGCGCGAACGCCTAACGGTTTATAAATTTGTTCTAGTGGTTTTCAGTGTTAATCGTTCAGCTATGAATTATGCCTCTTTCCCACAGCTATCACTTCTTAATAATTTTAAAATGTATGTGTCCTTTTAAGGCTTAAGTCAATAATATTTGAATTATTATTATTGATCTGATTTTGAACAATTTGGTCTCGTGTGCTGTTGCGGGTATGAGGGCGGTTATCGCTTCGCGGCTGCCCACACCGTGGAAGGTTGTTTCTTGAGGGACCTGTAAAGGAAGATAGATTAGTGTTGGTCTTGGAGACCTGGGTGCGTGACCGCAGAGTCCAAGGGACAACTGCTTGAGGCCGGTCACGCACGGCCTTTTTATGAAAGGTTTTTTGAGGATTAGCTCCGCTCTTGAAAGCCCTTAGTGGGCACCCTTACCGACGGAGACAGAAATCCATGAGGTAGGGTGAGGTGTGACATTTTTAGGGTCCACATTTTCTAACCCTTCCTTCCTTGTCAGAAGGCAGCATCGCTGCAGATGCTGGTTATGCGAGGGAAACACCTTACTGCTGTCGCACCTCTCTGCAGTCAGCAGTACGACTTCGCCCTCAGACCTTGGGTAGCTGCATTTAGTCTGATCGTTCTCCAATCGACCTGCCTGGCATGGTAGGACCTGCAGGAACTTATATTCCAGCTAATATAGCTCGGTTGAGTCATCACTCTAGGCAAGCCCGACCACCACATCAAGTAGTTGAGGGTGTTGACCGCTTCACTTATTTTCGGAGTCTCATCTGTGCTGATGTCTTGATGTATGATGAAATCTCGGCGTGGATCTTAAAGGCTCGACTGGCTATTGCCAACTTGCGTCACCTATGCTGTAGGAAGATATCCGTCTGATAACCAAAGGACAAGTGTACTTACTGCGCAACAGTTTGCTTCGTCCTAATTTATGGCTGTGAAACATGGCCGGTAAGAATTGAGGTATTTGTAGGTTACTGGTGTTCGATCATAGGTCCGTTAAAAACATTGATTTTATGTCCTGGGACAGCCAATTAAGCAATGCTATTGTGAGGAAACGGGCACTAATTAAAGATGGCAGATCAATAGATGAAGTATTGAAACTTCATCAGTTGCGGTGGTTGGGACATGTGTTGCGTATGCCTGACCACCGACTGCCTCGATGAGCGATGTTTTGTGGTGTAGGAGTAGATCGGAAGAAAGCTAGGGGCGACCAAACCGAAACATGCACAAATTTATGAAATTACTGACAAGTGGACTGCGCCATGTTGGTAAATGTAGACTACCTGGTTTGGGTGCGCGAGACGAAAGTCACTGATGGTTAGAGACCTTGAGTGACATGGCTCAAAATCGTTTGCAACGGCATAGGTGCATCCACTCTTTGTGTTCTCTAAAATTGTGATCTCCTGAATTCCTCATCTCCTCCATCTTTCTCTTTCTAAATTTCTCTCATTGAATTATACTTCTCGAATATTTTCTTGTAAATCCTGAATCCATTGTTTAATAATGGGTGGGCAGGTGAAGCAATGGGTTTAGGAACGCACACCTTTGAGCAACAGTCCGATAATCGGAAGAAGTTGGTGCCTTTCTGGTTCATTTTCTTTCATTGTGACACTTCAACTTATGTCGATCAGTGCTAAGTTTGTCTACTACTTACTCACACAACAAATTAAATTAGTCTTTACAATTTATAAATAATAAAGCTTCTAGAAAAGAAATAAATGGATTTTCTCTTATCTTGTGACAATCTTTTTTCTTTCTTCCCTCCTCTATTGCAACACAACTCTAAACACTGAATAAAAATAAATCTACACAGATTGTTGAATCAATATAACACCGTTTCTGTTATGCTCGTCACCAGTTGATATGCTTGAATGCTATTACGAAATTTACCTTATGTCGGTAAACGAAAGCTAAGATAATTGATCCATTGACGCGATAGGCTACTACTACTCACTAATTCGAGCGTCGTCTCAAGCTCCCCCTCTCACTAGCGGTATCAAAAAGTCTTGATTTTGGCGTAGAAAGTGTATTCTACTACAAACATCCAGAAAATATGAGGTTTTGTACAGAAGCAGAAAAGGAGCATAGAATTTTACAGGCAATGCATATTTATACAGTTAGGTCGACCGTGAATACTAACCCTCCAATAGGATAGAACATTTAAAAGTATGTGAACTGCATAGTTTAGGACGACCTTAAATATTGACCAGTAGAATTAGACTCACAAAATAATTTCTTTAAGATATTTGATGAATATTCTAACAGTTCCAATTAAGGTTATTGAGTATATATATGTACTGGAAAAAAACAGGACCAGTCAGTCAGCCAGCCACGACATCGAACGTCTTACTTACGTACATCAGTTCAAGTTGCCATACTACACTACCACACACACACACACAGAGATACAATTGTCCATTCAAATCTTCATAGTGGTAGATGTAGTACAAGTGTAGTGAATGAGAACACAGGTGTGGCAACCGAATTGTATTTAGCGAAATTACAGAGTTACTCAGTAAAATTGGAAAACCGTATCGTACGTAAATCGTTCATTTGCAAAATATCAGTTCATCATATCGAACTAGACCGTTCCTGTTGCCAAACATCAATCCCTTGTCTCATTATTCATGCGTTTCATACAAATTCCATTGTGTTCCCACTCTTCTTTTCTTGATCTTCCCCCATATTATGCTGCCAGACATTACGTTGACACTCACGTCATATACTACTTATAAGTAGCTCACACCACACAAGTATTAGCGGTAATGGAGAAGATTAAGAGTTTGACGATACTATTCAAGGAGTATAAACCAGTGAAATAAATCTAACAAGAACAAGATGAAAGTGTTGCGGAACTCCAGAAGAGATTAGGATTTGAGAGCAGAGCAGGTAGTCGTCGTCTACACTTACTAAATTGTCAGTGAATTCATGAATATGTGTTGGATTACACATTCATCATATCATATTTACATTCAATACAAATGTTATTATTACTAAACAAACAAACAAACATTTGATTATTTCTACTTAAGTTAGTTTGTATTACTTTGTTACCTTCTTCTTCTTTCAATTCCTTGTTGTATGTATGTATATACAACCAACAAACAAACAAATGAAAGATTTTCATGCTAATGGATTGTACAATGATAGAAAATGTGATATTGGTCATAGAAGAGGTGGTGTTGGTAGTAGTAGTAGTAGTTTTGGTGGTACTGGTAGTGGTAGTGCTTATGGTAGTAGTCATGCTCAAATGTATGGTCAAACAATGTCACCATATTCTATGAATCATGGTCGAATGATCACAACAACAATTGATCCTTATCAACAACAAATAACTTCAATCAACCAACAAATGGGTGATATGATGTTATTCGAACCTGGTTTATCTATTACTGGTGCTGCTGGTGCTGGTGCTATGTCACAGCAAAATTTTGTCTTTCAAGTAAGGGATAATAATAAGAGAGTAGTAGTAGTAGTTATTGTTCTTCTTCTTATTATTATAATTTTATCTTATTATCCCTTTTATTCACACAATAATAATAATAATAATAATAATGTCATGTTTTTTGAAATCAAATGAACCGGGTGATTTTCGGCATGATATTCAATTGTCAAGATTTTGTTTATCTTTAGACACAGTACAAAATAGTGTATGATTTAAGAGAGTGACTACATAACCAGTACCGTTTGATGTGTTGCTATCAGTCAAATCAACTATCAGTTCACGTGTATCAGTGCTGTGTATTCTATCTGTCTGTCGGGCATATGAGTCTGTTGTGCATAATAAATTTGACCAATCATAAAGTTTAACTAACAACAGACTTGGGGGAATAGGTTGTTACTTACTTACGCCTGTTACCCCCAATGGAGCATAGGCCGCCGACCAGTTTTCTCCAACCAACTCTGTCCTGGGCCTTCCTTCTCCAGTTCTGTCCAATGTTTGTTCATTCCTCTCATATCTTTCTCTATTTCTCGGCGTAATGTGTTCCTTGGCCTTCCTCTTTTCCTTTTTCCTTGAGGATTCCAAGTGAGGGCTTGTCTCGTGACGCAGTTAGGTGCTTTCCGCAATGTGTGTCCTATCCACTTCCACCGCTTCTTTCTGATTTCCTCCTCCACTGGAATCTGGTTTGTTCTCTCCCACAGTACGTTGTTGCTGATGGTGTCTGGCCAACGAATCCGAAGTATTTTGCGTAGACAGCTGTTAATAAACACTTGTATCTTCTGGATGATGGCTTTCGCAGTTCTCCAACTTTCCGCTCCATACAGTAGAACTGTCTTCATATTTGTATTGAAAATCCTGATTTCGGTGGTGGTTGAAAGTTGTTTGGAGTTGCAGATATTTTTCAACTGTAGAAATGCAGCGCTTGCTTTGCCAATCCGCGCCCTCACATCTGCATCAGATCCACCTTGATTGTCGATGATGCTGCCCATATATGTAAAGGTGTTAACGTCCTCCAAGGCATCTCCATCAATAGTGATTTGGTTGGTGCATGTTGTGTTGTATCGGAGAATTTCGCTTTTCCCTTTATGTATGTTGAGACCTGCTGCTGCTGCAGAGGCTGATGCTACACTGGTCGTCTTCTCTTGCATTTGTTGTTGCGTTTGAGATAGATGAGCCAGGTCATGTGCGAAGTCCAGATCGTCCAGCTGCGTCCTAACTGTCCAGTTGATATATATATATATATATATATATATATATATATATGTATCAATATTATACCGAGAGTATTGTTGAATGTTGGATGATCCTCCATTTGTAGTGTTCAAACTTGCATCAATTCAGAGAGAGATATAAGAAATTTGAAAAGTAAACATCAATTAAATTTACCAAAATAAAAATAAAACCTGAAAATCCCGTTTCGAAAAGAATAAATGAGCTTTTTAAGTATCAAAAGAGAAAAAAAACTTCTGTATCATTGTAACTAAATTTGTGAGCTTACAAAGAGAGAGAGAGCATAGAACTTATCTCATGCTTTACCAAACTACACCATTTCCAATATATTTTTAAATAAAAAATACGTTTATGCTTGCAAGAATTAACAACATCCTTCTATTTTCATTTCATCACAGTACAAACCTGCTTTTTATTCCTCTCAACTCACTTTTACGCCAGTCATCAGTAATATTCATTCAGTTAGGTAGATAGTGACTTAGTCAGTGAGTCAGTCAGTCAATAAAAACATAGAACTTGGTAAGTACGTACATCACAGTTCAGGTTGCTATACCACATTAACACAGAGATACAATTGTCAGTTCATATTCCATAGTGATAGAAGTAGTAGTAGTGTAGTTAAGGAGAACACAGGTGAGGGCAACCGAATTGTATTTAACGAAAATTACAGAGTTACTCAGTAAAATAGGAAAACCATATCGTAACCGTTAATTTGCAAATCTTCAATCGATTGTCTAACATTTCACTATTCATGCGTTTCATACAAATTCCATTGTGTTCCCACTCTTCCTTTCTTGATCTTCCCCCATCTTCTGCTGCTGCCAGACATTACGTTTACACTCGCGTCATATACTACTTATAAGTAGCGCGCACCACAGTAGTAGTATGAGCAGTAATAATTCAAGGGGTATAATGTAGGGAAATAAACTTAAGGTTAATGAAGAAATAACTCAGAAGATTGGAATTTGAGAGAACACAAAGAGAATAGATGCATCTATGCCATTCCGAACGATTTCGAGCCATGTCGTTCAAAGTCTCCAACCATTGGTTACTACTTTAATAGATAGATAAGCTTGAGTTTTAGCTATGCATTGATTAGTAGTAGTGACAATCTTATATAAGATTTGGGACATGTGTTGCGTATGCCTAACCACCGACTGCCTCGAAGAGCTTTGTATTGTAGTGTAGGAGTAGGTCGGTAGAAAGTTAGGGGCGGCCAGACCAAAACATGGCAGAAATCCATGAAGTCATTGACGAGTGAACTTAGCCATGTCGGTAATTGTCGACTACCTGGTTGGGGTCCACGAGATGATAACAATCGATGGCTAGAGACCTTGAATGACATGGCTCAAAATCGTTCGCAATGGCGCCGGTGCATTTATTCTTTGTGTTCTCTCAAACCCTAATCTTCTGGGTTCTTCAACCCCTCTAGTTTTGACTTTCTAAACTTTTCTCACTAAATCAAACTTCTTGAATAATATCTTCTAATCCTAACCTCTCCGATTACTTCTAATACCTTTACTACCTCTTCTACTATTGGATTTGAATCGACAATTATATCTCTGTGCTGATAAGGTATGCCTACATGAACTGATGTACTTACGTACAAAGTTATACGTTGCATCTGACTGACTGACTGATAAGATTTTCGAATGCAAAGTCTCAAATCGCCGAACTAGTGATTTGAGTGAAAATTAATTTGAAGCAGTGTTTGCATATTGATATAGTCTCTCCTCTAAGTCACCTAACATGTTTTTCATCTGTTCGTGTTGTAAGTAGCCTACTAAATTCAGAGTTTAAACTATTAAGATTGGATTTGGTGAGGATCTTGAAAAAAATGTGCTAGACATAAAATCAACTAAGGTGAACAATGGTTTGTGGTAATATAGTGGGGTAGACTAAAATAATGCTTATGGGCCTGCCGCACCAAAGCATGGCACATATTTATAAAGTCACTGACAACTAAACTGAGCCAGATTAGTAGGTAGGTGTAGACTATCTCGTTAAGCATCCACGAAACGATAGTAACCGATGGTTAGAGACTTTAAATGACATGGCTAAAGATCGTTTATGATGACTCAGTTGCATTCATCCTTTGTCTGCTTTCAAATCCTAATCTTCTGAATTCTTCATGACCTTATCTCTCCTCAAATTTATTTCACTGCATTATATTCCTTGAATCGTATTTTCAAACCGTAATCTTTTGGTTTACTGCTCATACTTCTACTAGCTCTACCACTATGGGATTTGAAATGGCAATTGCATGTTCGGGATGCGGTTTTCCCCGTCGAAATGCAAAATGTTGCTTCAGGATTGGCTTGCGACTTCACCGGAACTAGTGATATGGAGTAAAGTAGTCGAGTGTGTAGACCGCTTCACGTATCTGGGGTGTCTGATCAGTGCTGATTTCCTGGTGACTGACGAAATCTCACCTCGGATACAGAAAGCTCGATTGGCTTTTGACAACCTGCGTCACCTATGGCGCACGCGAGATATCCGTTTGCTAACGGAAGGACGAGTGTACGGCGAGGTAGTTCGCTCCGTCCTACTATGTGGCTGTGAAACATGGACAGTCAGAGTAGAAGATACTCGTAGGTTACTAGTATTCGATCATCGGTATCTCCGAAGCATTGCTCGTGTATCATGGGACAACCCAGTAAGCAATGCTGTTATTAGGAAACGCGTGCCAGGTAAGGATGACAAATCAATAGATGAAGTATTGAAACTTCATTAGTTGAAGTGGTTGGAACATGTGTTGCGTATGCCTAAACACCGCGTCGAGCTATGTTTTTTTGGTGTAGGAGTAGGTTGGAAGAAAGCTAGGGGCGGCCAGAACAAAACATGTCTCAAATCCGTAGAGTCACTTACAAGTGGACTGAGTCATGTTGGTAGGTGTCGACTACCTGGTTGGGGTCCGCGAGATGATAATAATCGATGGTTAGAGACCTTGAATGACATGGCTCAAAATTGTTTGCAATGGCGTAGGTGCATCCACTCTTTGTGTTCTCTCTAATTCTAACCTTCTGAATTCCTTGTCATCTCTATTTTTCTCTTTCTAGATTTATCGCACTGAATTATAATTCTCGAATCATATCTTCTCCATTACTTCTAATACTTCTACTATCGCTATTACTCTTGGATTTGAACTGACCATTGCATTTGTGTGTTAATGTTGTGGTATAGCAACGTGAACTTTGATATACTTATGTACGAAATTCTATGCTATTTCTGACTTAGTGATTTCCATCAATCTGTTACTGCTGTCTGATATATAAACACCAGTTTCATTTTATAAAGATCGGTTATACACCGGTGGTTTTGTTTTGCTCTGCCAAATTGGGATTTTTGAAATAGTGGAGAAAATTTGTAGCTTAGGTTGATGATTGTGTTGGTGTTTCGTTCTCTCTGAGCTGAGGATGTTTTGACTATGGAGCTTTCATCATTGTTCTCCGGCTGAACAACATCATTGTCAGCACAAACTTCAGACACAACAGAAGTAAAGTATTCGAATTTCTTCACGTTTGACCCGTAGCTTTGAATACTTCACTTCTGCTCAATCAATCAACCAATCAATAGCAACGTAGAACTTCGTACGTACGTACATCAGTTCATGTTACCGTACCGCCATTAGCACAGAGATGTAATTGTCAATTCAATTCCAATAGTAGTAGAGGGAGTAAAGGTTTTTGCAGTAGTCGGAGAGGTCAGGATTAGGAGATATTAGTCAAGAAGTAGAATCTAGTGAAATAAGACTTAAAAAGATGATGAGGAATTAAAAAGTTTGGGATATGAGATAACACAAAGAGTGGATGCACCTACGTCATCGCAAACAATTTTGAGCCATGTCATTCAAGGTCTCTAACCATCGCTTATCATCATCTCGCGGACCCCAACCAGCTAGTCGACACCTACCGACATGACTCAGTCCACTTATGACTCTATAGATTTGTGCCATGTTTTGGTCTGGTCGCCCCTAGCTTTCTTCCAATCTACTCCTACACTATAAAACATCGCTCGACGAGGCGATCGGTGTTTAGGCATACATAACACATGTTCCAACCACTTCAACTAATGAAGTTTCAATACTTCATCTATTGATTTGCCATCCTTACCTGACACGCACTTCCTAATAACACTATTGCTCACTCGGTTGTCCCATGATACACGAGCAATACTTCTGAGACACCAATGATCGAATACTAGTAACCTATGAATATCTTCTACTCTCACTGGCCATGTTTCACGACCATAAAGTAAGACAGAGCTAACTACTGCATAGCACACTTGTCCTTTAGTCAGCAAACGGACATCTCTCCTACGCCATAAGTGACGCAGGTTGGGAAAAGCCAATCGAATCTTCTGTATGGGAGCTGAGATTTCATCAGTCACCATCAGCACTGATGAGATGGCCTTTCGCCTTTCACTTCTGCTATCTGAAGTTTGTGCTGATGAGGATGTTATTCAACATGAGAACAATGATGAAATCTCCACACAATCAAAACATCCTCAAACTCTATCAACTCTTGTAAAAATATAGTTCCAATGTATTTCATGGGTTATATTCTATTATCGAAAATTACTGGTGAGATTTTATTTGTTTTTCAGCGGTTAATAATAAATATTTTAATTTCTAAACATTTTTTGTTATTATTATTATTATTATTGATATTATAGCCTACAAAGGATCACATCGCTGGTGATTATCATAATTATGCTAGAGGTCAACGAGGTGGACGTAGAGGTCGTGGAAGACCTTACTAACAACAACAACAGCAACAACAATGTTATTGTCATTAAAATATCTGTAATATGCTTCCTTTATTAATCATTATAAAATTGTATTTACATTTTGATTGCAACACATTTCTTTCCTTTCCTTTCGTTTCCCTCTTTTTTATTTATATGCTAAAGAAAATTTAATAAATACCTCATGGAGAAAATTAAAATTATTCTCTCTCTCTGTGTACAGTCGTTCGTGGCTATTTAGTAATTGTCTATTGGGAATCCATACGAATCAACATCATTTCAGTAATATATGCGATGATTGCCTATTATTATTTTCTTTGTTTGATCAATAAAAGTGTATCACGTGACTATGCATTGTCATTTTACTTACTGTACCTTACGCGCCTGTTACACGCTAATGTAGCACATAAGCTACCGACCAATATCTCCTCCAGTCTATTCTGTCCTGGGCTCCCCTTTCCAGTTTTGTTCAATTATTGTTTTTAATCTTTCGCATATCTGTCTCCATTTCTCAGAAATCGAATATCAATGAAAGTACGGGAGTAAATCACTCGTTTAATGACATTGTTACACTATTTAGAAATCTCATTTTATTTCCCTTTCGGTTCTTCTGGAAGTTAACTAGTGCCTACTGCTTTACTACTAACTAACTAACTGTTGCACAAGATGTGTTCAAGAATATTTTCACTTCATCATTTTGATGCTACTAGTAACGATTAAATAAAATGTTTCTTTTCTGTATTTGTCATATCTTCAAACCCTAATCTTCTCCATAACTACTATCATCTCTACCACTATGGGGGTTTGAATTGATTGATAGTTGCGTCTCTGTGCTAATAATGCTGTATAGCAGCCTGGACTGATGTACGTACGTACGTACGTGCGTACGAAGTTCTACGTCATAACTGACGACTGACTATATTCATCATAGGGAAAATATCTTCCCTATGCTATTGAAGTATGCATTTTTATGAATAAACTATGAAGTAAATAGAATTTTACTACACTACTGCCATCATCATTTGTCAAAGTAGAGCGTTGCTGTTTATTTTATACAACTATGGATGTGGTGATATACAACTTTCTATAGAATAACATAAAGCATCTAGAAACACAATTCAATCTACTAATCAATATTGATTTGTCGAATCTCTTCCGTCCACAGACGACACATTTAAGAATATGCAAGAACATTTAGTGTCAGAATGAAGCTTCTATGGATGTATTTGTAAATTAGAGCTGTGTGTGTATGTGTGTGTGTGTGAATATCTTAGTTCATTTATTTCGTACATGTAATCATATTTGGTTTGTAATCTTTATTTTTTAATAAGTACGCTGCTAAATATTCAATTGGTTTTGATGGTCTGTAAGAAAAAAAAATGCAGATGGATTTTAATATATTTATTGTTGTAAACTTACCTTTCTTTACACAATTGTGTAAGCCCATGAATAAGTACTGGTACAACTAATCTCTCTAAATAAGTACGTGTTGGTAAAGATTGAAGTTCAACTGTGGAAGTTTCTAATCGTATATCAGATTTGACATAGTTTATGGTATTATTAAGACTTCTGATGAAATGCTCAATATGAATTTGTTCATTCGACATTTTTGTTTTTAAGTGCCGATGAGATTTTGAATTTCCGATGTTGGTGTTTTGATTTGATTCAATTTAACGATAAGGTTATCTGCAAAATAAAAACATAATAAGACAAACAGAAATAATGTATGCTCCTTAAATAATATCTAATTGTGCATCGCAAAAAATGTATGTCAGAAGTTGTTCTCATTAGATGCTTATATACATCTTTTCTCCTCTAACCGAGCGTTTCAGTCATCAGGTAAGGTATAGAACATATTCGTCACTTTTTATAGTTTGTAGGTGGTATGTGGAGATATCCTGACTGAACTGTGTTACATGGAAGCAAAATGAAGTGACTAATAACTGTGACACTTGCCGTTTTTAAATTTCTTTGTGTAATGAATAACTCATTGTTCACTAATCTGGTGATCAAAACTACTAAAATTACGCATCAAACATTCAAGTACAGAGAATTCATGGTTTCTAGGCTGGAGTGTATCTAGATCATATCAATTAATCAAGACTCAGTTTGTATGTAATTTAGCATTGGGTAATCTTCGAAATCCATCTCAACAGTTGCTATTTAATCTTCCACTTAAAAGATTTCTAATACAATCTTGGATGTTACTATGGTCTAAAAAAATTGTGAATCCAACGAAGTGACAAATTTCATGCAAAAAGTCCTAGTTTTCCGAATATCGCATTACGTCTAGTTTTCTCATCCAAGTTGTGCAACAAGGTTTAACTAGAGACAAAGTGTTTTTTTTAATTGAAAAAAACATATTCCGACTAATCAGTCAGAGTTTTACATCAAAATTTGAATCGTAATTATACTTAGTTTGAAAGTCAATAACAACTGATTCAAGAAATTGAATTGTTATAAATAAATAGGCTCTAGCCAGAAAGTGGGTGCATCTGCGCCGTAACATGTAGTTTTGAGCCATATCATTCAGGATCTCTAACCATCGATTGTTGTCGTCTCACGGACCCCAACCAGGTAGTCTACCCTTACCTACTACTGCGAATGCCCAACCACCGACTACCTTGTCGAGCTATGTTTTACGATTTAGGGGCGGAGTGGCAGAAAGATAGAGGCGGCCAAGTTAAAACATTGCACACAGTCACTGAAAGCTGCATTAATGTTTATAAGGGTAGTCTTACCAGCACTAATCAATGTAGCTGTCAGTGACTTTGTGCAATGTTTTGACTTGGCCGCCTCTATCTTTCTGCCACTCCGCCCCTAAATCGTAAAACATAGCTCGACAAGGTAGTCGGTGGTTGGGCATACGCAACACATGTCCCAACCACCTCAACTGATGACGTTTCAATACTTCATCTATTGGTCTGCCATCTTTAATTGGTACTCGTTTCCTAACAACGTGATTGTTTACTCCATAGTCTCGAGATAAACAAGCAATGTTTCTGAGTCACCTATGACGGAAACCCATTAACTTACGAATATCTTCTACTCTTCCTGGCCATGTTTAACATCCATGAAGTAGGACGGAGCGAACTGATTCGCAGTAGACTCGTATTTTGGTTAGCAGAAGAATATCTTGACTGCGCAATAAGTGAAGCAAGTTGGTATGTATTCAAACTCTTTTGAAAAACAACAACAGCAATCGACTCCGGTAAACTAATGAATATTTACATATGTAGTTGGTTATGTTTCAGAGAAAATAATCATTACAGTTTTCACTGATTGTTAGTTTTTGAACGTCACTTCCAGTATAGTCGAAAGCAGAGAACCATCATTTCGATTGTTAGTTATATGCGAATCAACCAGTCTTGTCGATATCGTATCAGCACTGAAGCATTCCACTAACTAGGTTATAACTCTGCGAAACAGGAGACTATCTTAGTCTCCCAATAGAATGTCGGCAATAATTTTCAGTCAGCAAGAAAAAAAGGAGCCGGGTTCAGAAACTATCTATTAAGAAAACCCTCTAAAGGTAGTTCGCCTGCCTATTAACATAAGACTCATTCAGACAAACAGGATTAGAATGTTCATGTGTTTCAAATCACAAACATAAAATACTTATTTAAGAATGCAACGGATTTGCTAAAACACCGGGATTTTTCAGAGGATTAATCCTGTTAGTAAATTTGAATAAAATAACAACACTTAACATAGCAGAATACATGGATTCATTTTACTTAGCGGTTCTTTATCTTTAGTTTACGAAAGCTTCTAATCCGTCCAATCATTATTTGAACTATTCAGTACAGTGTCTACAACTTTTCGGTCGAAGTAATGTATGTAAACGAATGTCAACTACCTTTGAAGCCTATGGTGTTCAATTTCGAAATAATCCGGGGTAAAAATTGTAGGAACCATATCATTCATAGTAAAGTACAATTGATGAACAGTATTAGAAAGAGTGATTACTCATGTCCGTAAGAAGCTTCACGTATGTGTTTGAAAGAGAAATTTACGTCAGATACATTGCAGTAATGCATTAAACGATAGAATCAGTTTTGTTCAACGAAGGATTTACATCTGCTACACTAAAAACACCAATTTCCGCATAATTATTAGATTTCAAAAAAGCAGTTGCAAGTTCGGAAGTACAGTTGAAGATATTTACAACATTACTTCTGTTCACTGTGTTGGTGAAACAAATTCTTCATTTACCTATGAAAAGAGTTCAAACAACTGATTCCTAGAATTTCCAATCTGTCAAGGTCATGGTTCGTGGACAGCGCTTGTCGCCATGGCGACAGATTTAATGTACAACAGTCCAATTTACAACATCTTTTTGATGAGCTAGCACTAATCGAGAATGGCTTATGTCCAAACATGGTATTTAAAACTGGACTTTTCTCCGTCCGTCGTCGAGATGACCTTGTTTTTGGCTTTTTAAGGAGTTGAAGATACTTGTAGCAGGTAGCAACATTTACTTATGATTGAGATATTATCAGGAAGAAATTGGTAGCCTTACAAGCGAACAGTATCGCCGAAATATGCTTCACACTAGTAGCTTTTCTGGCTGAATCAGTAAACTTTTTCAGTCATTAAAATCTACGTTTTAGGAGAGCAGAAATGTATCACAATATATTTCCTGTGATGCTGAAGGTTTAAGCAAGTCCGTTGTGAAAAGTAGCACTGTTGGTGAAGCGACGCTTCAAGCAATCACTTTCAGTACTTATCGAATACAAGTGAACGTGAAGTCAACTTCATGAAGAAGTTTTAGTAGTGGTCATTTTTACCAAAGATTAATGATTTATACATGTAGCGGACCGGTGCCTAGCAAGCTTCGTTGCGGTCGGTATTCGATACGTTCCTAGAAGTCGTATGCTGCTCGTTCAGCAAACCGTTGTTAAATAGTTCTTCACGACTTATAAATGAGAAGACGAGTTGGAATGGTCGAATACATTCATTTGACGCACCGCAGTTAGATCACCAGACCGCAGGCATGCAGGAAGAAAATCAATGTGTGAGTGCCAGGAGGCAAGCAAATGAATCAGCGAGTTAGCGAATTAGGGAGTTGACGAATGAATTATTAGGAATAAAGTTTACTTAGATAGAAAAATGGACGAGTCATCGAAATATTAAAGAGGTTAGTGTCAAAGCGACTTCTTGCCATGCAGTTAGCGAAAAAAATCAGATTCGATGTGACGTCCACTGAGTATCACCAAAACATTTACTGACTCTGCCTGCTTTGTTATATGTTGGGGACGTTAGATCGCTATAAATCACTTGGAAAATGTCCTAATTTTATAATTTTACACTGACATTTTAAATTTTATGTTTCGCACCACGGAGGCTCAGTTCGACCTTCAGATTGCATATCTTACTCGAGAAATCCTAGACTGTCATTGGTTGACGTATCATTTTAGTTCGCTATTGTGTGGATGATCGGATGAGAAAAGATTGTTGTGTCAATGAATCACTCATCTTCTTTCCGTTCATCCTGTAAGGCGAACTCGTATATCATTCGGCGATGGCGGTTGTTGAAACATGGTTCTTTATAAATTTGAGCAGCAGCTAAAATTAATGAAAACGTTGACAGATGCCACGTGTTACGACTACGGTTCAGAGTAAATGTTCTAGTAAATCTGAAGTACGTGCAGTGCAACAATCACCTAATCAGAATAAATATGCCTCAACTAAAGCCACTCCGTTCCGCTCTAGCTCATTATGGCAGAAGAAAACATATCCCCCTCCCCATTTTCTCCACTGTGGTGTATGACACCCTATCCGAACTTGCTCACATAGGCAACAACGATGACGGAAGTGTAAGATCGTGGTCAGAAAGATGATTTTTACATAAAGAGGAAGCGAAATCACTGCGAAATCCTGTACCGGTTCGCTGAGCCTGGGATATCCTTGTCACAACTCAGGAGTTTTAATACCCGTTTATAACTCTGCTTGAGCGGCAAATATAGTTTTCTTCAAGAAGGCCAACGAAATGATATGTATATGTACTGAATTTTCCACGGATAGCGATGCATCTGTGGAAGAGCATCAATATCCAGTGCCAGTCCCTACAGATCTGTTTATGATGCTAAATATAGGAAAGTGTTTCGCGACATTGCATCTAGCTGATATTAGGTTGTAAGTGGAAGTTGATGACCCATTAGGAGAGCTGCTGACTATCAATAATATTATTAATATTTATTCTCGAATAACTACGTTACAAAAGCATGCCAGTTTACAGGCTAGATCAGATTGTGACAAATGCTTTCACACTTACTGTAAAAGTTATAGCAGTTGAATTAAGTATAAGAGTCAGTTTCTGATATCATATTAAGACCGTGTCACTGACAGAAACAGTATAATACAGCCAAATTTTCAATAGGAGAGTACAAATAAGGAAGGTTCACAAAAGGTTCTTCTGGCTATTTGCAGAGATCAATCATGAATTTGTTGGGAAAGTTCAAATGGAACGCGCTTGATACGAGCTGTGATCCTGACAGTCACGTACATAGGGCGCATGTTCCCTAGATTCACCAAGGATTTCTCACCGTGAATGGGGTTTTAAAAAGGGAGAAAAAGGCAGCAGTGTGGCAAGTGTATATATATATATATATATATATATATATATATATATAACCAAAGCACTACTTAATCTGTCATGTTGAGGTACTCAATACAGTGTTTAGTCAAGATAACATTCATACTGACCACTTAAATTAAAGTAAACTATGGGAATACAAGAATATAACCCACAGATAAAGGAGTACAGCTAAAGAGAAGGAAGAGTTGTGCAGTGTCAGGTGGATAGAAGAGAGTAGAGATTGTAAATAGAAAACGTTGATGATCAAAAGTTCTCACTGCCTGTTTTCTTTTTAATTATTATTATTGAATGCCAACCTCTAGGTCATACTGTAAGCGCCTGAGTAAGAATGTTGCGGGTATCTCGACAGAATTGCGACCTTAGCATAGTTTTGGAAACATAACCTCAGAAGAAGCAGGCGTATGAGAGCAACCTCAGTGTTACTGATTAGTCGCCTCATCAATCGAATGAACCGAAAGCAAAAAAACGTTCTGCAACACAAACATAAGTGGTTTGAAGTCATCGCACACACCATCAGTGTTTGCTGGTCAGTAACTCCACCCTCACTCCTTTTGTGTTGTTAGGCTCATGTTAAATGTTTAAAAGAGACTGTTTTGTGTTCTACTTGGTGCTCTATGTCTCACATCCTGTTGAGAAACACTATTTCTGCAAGTTCCTTTCACAAACTTGTCTGGCTGTTACAACTTATGAACTATTGGTTAGGCATCAATGCTATACATTTAACAGTTATGGAGAAATAGTACGGATTTTAAAACAAGATATAAGCATTTGGAATGTATTGACGGAGATTTACTTAACTAGCCAAGCAGGAGATATAAAGAGTATCACTGTTTGTTCCAGTATAACCGTCTAGGTTATGTATCTCGGGGGTTGCAGCTTATCTGGATGATATTCTGATTGTTGAGACGACATTTGAACAAGTACAGTATCGCACGGCATTGATTGGCCGATGCTTCAGTGACTACGGTTTCCGGTTACGCCCAGGGAAATGCCAGTTTTTATTACTGTCGGTAAAGTATTTGGGATTCATCTTTGATGCCAACGACTGCTGATAGGATAATGAGAACATTTGAGCTTCAGCATGTGGCCTAGGTGCTGTTATTTGACATCAGTTTTCTGACGCGTCAGAAAAGGCCCTTATGCATGCGTCCCCATACACTAACCCCAACAGAAAAGAGATACACCCAGATGGAGAAATAGGCTGTTGCCTTTGTGTTCCATTTCCTTAAATTTCTGTACGGACGAGATTGACACTCGTCACAGATCACAAGCGTCTGCTCTCACTATTTGGATCAAAATCTGGTATTCCAGCCTATTCTTCAAATCGTCTTCAGAGATGAGCCTCGATACTCTAGTGGTATAATTTCGAGATCCATTGCCGACGCTCTCAGCAATCCGATCAGGCGTTTGCTTAATCACGACTCAATAGTAATCGATTGGCGGCTTGGGAAAACATGGCAATCGCACCTCTGTCGGTGGAAGACCACGCGAAATGTTATCTGACTACTGTAATACGGGCATTACTGGTGTCTGAAACAGTTATGCAAACTTCTTATAAGAAAGACCTCATCATCAAGATGACGATGGACAAAGTCACCAACGATTAGCCGTCTAAGTGGTTTGATGGTGACACGAAACAGCTGTATCAGTGACGAGATTCACTATGCATCGTAAATGACTGCTTGATGTTTGGAGAGGGAGTGCTTGTGCCAGAATCCTTTCTTGCAAAAGTGCTTAAACAGTTCAACCTTGTTCACCCGATGGTTAGACGAATGATATCCAGAGCCAGGAGTTATGCATACTGGCCTTTCGTGGATCAGCAAATCACCGATTTGGTGGAAAAATGCGTGGTGTCAGCTGGCGGCAAAGATGAATACCGACATTTTGCCAGTTGCATGACCAAAACCTGAGCATCCTCGGTCCACGATACACGTCGACCTCGCTGGTCCAAACAATCAATGCCGCCCACGACCTCTAAGACAATACAGCTCCTCACCGAAATTTTTTCTTGAAATGGCATACCAGATGTGATCGTACTTGACGATGGGTCTCAATTTACCTACACAAAATTTCAAACTTTCCGCCAACATCTAGCCACTAAAGACTTACTCTCGCCAACATACCACCCGCAATAGAATGGGCAAGAGGAAAGGCTTGTGGATACATTTAAAGGAGCGTTGGTTAAGTCAAAAGGAGTGGGGGCATCAGCCGACGCACTACGAAATTTCTTGTACGTCTATCGAACAACACCAAATGAGTTGTTACCGGAGCGAAACTCCCTAGCAGAAATGCTGATGGGAAGAAGACTGAAAACTATCCACAACTTGTACAGAAAACGCCCAAAAGACGGTCCATGTACGAAGTAGGACGCTCCGTGTTTGCCCGTGACTTCAGAACAGACCATGGTCTTTGGACAGAAGCGCGAGTGGTCAGAAGAGTTGGGTGTGTTTCGTAATAAGTAGAGGTAGGAGGCGATATATGGTCACGCCGTCGAAATCAGAAATGTAAGCGGCTAGTCTCATATCGTCCATCAACAGAAGCAAATCATCCCTTTGACATCCTGTTAGGGACCTTCAAATTACCGGCAGCCCCACCACAGGAAGAAACTCAACAACAATCTGAACTCTACACAAGAATATATCTTCTCAGACAGAGGCAAACAACAGTCAAGATGAACGTCGAGTCCAAAAGCGG